GCGCCCAGCAATCGTAATCCATTCCCGCTCCACCAGATCGGACTAGCGTAATTGCTGCAGAAGGTATGCACGGGACTGAGCAGCCAGTGGTGGGCTTGAAGTCCGTTAAAACCCTCGGTGTATCGGAGCGCTGCGATCTTGTTCGCGTTGCCGAAGGCAAAGAATGCGCTGTGGGTGAACAGGACAATGGAGAAGCAAGCTTGGAAGGGGCTGAGGTTTGCGGCCGAAGACACTGTATGATATGAAGACGGGGGTCAGAGACATGTGGGTCAAGGAGATTAGAGTCGCCTCAGGACAAAGCCAATACGCACCGATCCACTCGAGCTGAATGCGGTAGATCAGAAGAAGCGGGATATTGCCGGGAATAGTCTGCATGAACAAGTATAGGTTTAGGACTTCAAGTAGAGCGGGGAGTTCGGCTGCTGGAAGAGGGCCAGGATTAGCGGCAGTCCCAACAATCGCCGATAGGGCAAAGTGCCCCTGTCAACTCACCATTTACGCTCTTCAGCGACGCTTCTTGGGCGCAAGAGCGCAGGACCACGTAGCCACCCCCCATAGCTAGACTCGCAAAGATAAGTTGAGCCATCTGCGTTAGGGGAAGCTGCTACAATAATGCCCTGCAGCCATTCAGGGGCGCGATGAATGAGACCTGGGCCAGCCCGGGCTGCAGAGGCAAACTTGAACAAAAAGACGGTCAGGATTATTGCTCGGTGAGCAAATACAAGGAGTGGCTTATCTTGAGCGTCACGTGTGACATTTCTCCTACGATGCACTGTGAGTGTGTAGGAGGTGTGGACAAGAGTCACTGCAATCAGAAACCAAAGACAAAGGGGACGTCTGTCGAAGAGACTTTGCATGCTGTATACTTTCGCGGCTGCTTCCCGATCATGGATATTCCACCGCTGCGACAGTATGTGCAAGAAAAGGGGGGTGCAATTACCGAGGCCTAGCATGTAGGAAGAGCGGCCGGTACTGAAGATTACCCAGCCCATCCATACGGTAGAACCCCAGAACCAAAAGAGTTGCTCTTTCTCCACAAGAAATGGAAACAGTAAAGTAAGGCCGTTGCCAAGTTGGAAAAGGTTCAAGACCAAGAAGTTCTTGCTCGGCGGAGGAATTGACTTGCAAGTAACCCAGGCAAGCAGTAGTGCGATCACGGCCATTGCAATGCCATAGTGGAGAAGAGACACTGGCATGTTTTCGACCGTCGCATCTTTTAGTTTATTCTGAAGCTCTTTGCTCATCTAAGATGTTTCTCAGTCACGTCAGTCATGCATGTTGCGCGCCTGCCACCGGGGAATAGAATTATTACCAGAGAAAGCTCTCCTAGGCTCCTTTCATTGAGAGACTCATGTGGTACACCATGCCAGTCAAGGTCGATCTCGCAAGCAGCCACCCCCGTATCAGGTCCGCAAGATAAGGCTCGAAGATGCTCGAGATTCTCAAGAACAAGATTGAATTGATCTGTGGAGGGACTCCACAGATCAAGAAGTTGAGGAATGAAGACCCCAATGCTAGCGGAAGGTATAGAAACACCCAGCAACCATGCCATGGTAGGTACAATATCTACCTGCTGCATGACAGTGTAGTAGTCAAAGGTGCCAGCGGTGGGTACTGCAGGTGATTCATAGCTTCGATTGAGCGACTTGAAACGGGGCGAGATGAACATCATCGCGGCCGACACTTCAGGGTCCGATGCACCGCCATGACCCCCCCACCTATCCAAGGCCAGATGAGCCTCCGTCTCGAGAGCTTCATAGGTCTCTCGAATGATAGCATCCATCTGACGTTGCTTGGGTGCCATGAATTCGCTGTCCGCGCCACCCATATGCCCGACGTGGTCAATGCCGGGAAAGTGAAGGACCAGTGCGCTCCAGTCATCTCGCTGAAGCTCCATCATGGCATTGGCGGACACGTTCAGGTCTGGTGAATCAATGTCCTGTGCGGGTTTCAGCGATCTACCAGTCATTCCATGTGTCCTTTCCCTCTGGCGTTCAGCGGAAGAAGAGGTGGGCTCTTGAGCCTTCGAGACTCACTGGGACGAATAACGGCGAGATAGGACACCCTCGGTCAAAGACCTCGAGAAATAGCTGTACCCACGTGTCGTCGCCGTAGAAGTGCAGGCTTCCCCTCCCAGCAGCTTTCAGGTGCCCTAACCACGTATCTGTAGATTCGGGCGTGCCGGGTCCGTCATCAGCGTTGTGAAAGACGTCCAAGAACATGGAGGCTGAGCCGACAGTCATCGCCTTTATACATGCCCTAGTCAGACTTGGCGAGCCCGTTTTCATAGTAAAAGGCATGGCTGCGCCGGAGCGGATTAGACTTGGGTATCATATCAGCTCCGGTGGTTTACGGATTCGGCGACGGATCATTGCATACCTTTGCGTGAATTCGAACTGAGAATGTGGGCTGTAAACAAAGTCACTGTATCCTTTTGGCTTAGTATCAGGTGTTAGGGTCGAAAGTAGTCGCTGGCATCTGTTTCGAAACCCACCTGCGGAGCGCATCAATCATCAAAAACACCACTTTCTCGAAGGGGGCTTCTTGGTCAAAAGGGCGCCTGTCTAGCGGTACTTTTTTTGCCGATGAGGGGGGCATGGGCCGGAAAAAGCCCATGGTGAACACAATAGCAGACGCAATTATCAGTCCATTGGCGAGGAGGAGAAGAGCTCCACGGGAACGCCAGCCCATCGCGTCCAACAGACTCAAAGGAGCAAGAGACAATAGACAACTACGGTGATGCTGATAGGTGATCTTCAGAGTCGAATGCTTTTACAATTCGATCTTTCTGAGTGGGAAGCTGTATATTCATTGGCGTTGACTATCGGTATGACCGACATGTAAATCGAGCATACGGAGTGCTGCGTCAAAGCTTTCCTGAGGGCTCGAGAGCTTGATATGCTCAACCAAAACATTGGGAAATTCAAGAAGAGCGAGTTACTAAGTAGTTACAACACCGGACACCGTAGTGAATACTGTTCCTGGCGGAAAACATGAGTTCTGATGGCTCTCATTCTGCAGTACTTCTCATAATATGACCTGTCTGGCACAATACGAGCATTGGGTGAATGCGGTAAATGAGCCGTCGATCCCCGCCATCTACGATCTGATGAAAAGTTCTCTCCCTACTCCGTACAGCTTTCCATCTAGTCGAGTTTCTGTTCATCAATACAGGGGCTGCCCCGATCGTGAGCATGCTTGATGAGAGGAGAGCAGAGGCGTCGTCCATAATGCATGGTTGCCAGTTCGGGTCACCATAAGTCATGCAACCAAGTACGATCTTGGAGACCTTCAGACCCGACGCACCAAGCCTAAGATCTGGATGGTCAGATGAAGGTGGTTTTGCTCCGTAAAGCCGACTTTACGTAATGTATTCCATTCTGAGAGCTGTCGTAAAGACTTTCTGTCTAGAGGTCCAAGTCAAAAGGCTTGAAATGACACAAATTTCCCTGCAGAGGTGATATTCAAGCTTCAATTCTAGCAACATGGGCTTTTGGAGAAATAGAAGCGACCCGGACTAAGAACGCATCAAACTAAGCCCGCCGTGACCGTTGGTTGAGCGAAATCCGCTAAATGATGACACTCTGCAAACGGCAACATCGTTTCACGTTCCGGACAACCCACTGGACCTGTCCGCCATGCCCGCGTTGCCTCACAGAGATACCGTTCCAGTCCGTTTTAGCCGTACGACTTTATTACTGTTTTGAAATAAGAATTCGGGATGATGGAGTCGACCTGTAATTGTCAGCAATTAGTGTAAAGCTTAAGAACTCAACACGTGACCATTGCGCATTCGATCGAGAACCGAACCAGCCTGGAGTGCAAGATTCCGAAACAGCTCTGATTAGCTAGTAAAAGCGGTTCCTAAAATTCTTCTGTGCCATTTACTTCCATCAAGCGTATAACGGTGTGCACTTCAGTCCCGAATTTTATGACGTCGGTGACATTGTGTCGGAACATGCAGTTCACCAGTATCGTTCAGCTACGCACTAGCTGCTTGTAAGTAGATTCATTCACGGCGAACTATTCGAAAAGGGTCAATTTGGAAAGACGCTTCGGGGCAGCGAGGAGTGGTCCAGGCATCTTTATTTGTAAACGTACCATGTATGTGTTCAGTATCGAGCTACAAGTGCTGAGTAGACGAGAACAGAACGAAATGAGTTTTATCCTAGAGCTAATGTGATAGTGTCACACTTAGACCGAGGATGGGTTTGAAGATATAACCAATCCAAGCCGAGACAACGAAGGGATTAAGGTCCATTAATTACCCCTCCACATCGACCAGCTTCAATTGCATCTCCGATAACTTAAGTTAGCTGCTATTACGTCTTCGGGCTGTACGCATTGGGGAAGTAGCCGGGAGCTCATTGGTCCCTCCGTTAAACTCCTTCGCAATCTGGACATCCTCCAGGTATTCCCCACCTGTCCCCTCCAAGACATAAGAGACAGCAGCCCATACAGGGGAAAATCTAAGCATATCCATATATTTCTCCAATGGGCCCACCTCGGCCTGAACCAGCCTTTAGGGCCGAACCTCAGTGACGAGGAGATCTCGGTAAAGTACTATGTTCTTTATCATCTCACTCGATTCGTTCACTATCTAACCTGAGACGGGTGACATCATTAGTGCCCACCCTTTACACTAAAAGATGACACGCCCAGAGATTTAAGTAAAATACAGCCAAAGTAAGCCCTGCATATAAACTAAGTACGGTTTCCTTATGCATATTGTAGGATTTCTCACTGTATTTTCGTGAGATATCCGGTAAATTGAAACGAATGAGGTTTTTGTGATGTATTGTATGGTATGAGTAGACTTGCATTTTTCTCGGGGTTGTCCGGGGAAGCCGGAACGAGCGAGTCTTCTCTAATCGAATCAAGCAGGTATTAAAAGGCCCTCAGTTTACCTTTGCCCGATCCTTCTAGCAATCAAGATTCAACTTCACTTGCACAAGTCTTGCTTCTCTTAACTCTTTCCTATCAATTCCTCCGCCAGCACCATGACTAGCCGGTATGCTGAAGTCCACAAGAACCCTCAAGGTCCAGGAGATGCCCGGCCCACAGCACAGCAGATTATTGATGATGAAGGGCTTAAAGGTCAACTGGCCGATCGATCTATGTTGATAACTGGCGCATCATCAGGAATTGGGGTCGAGTCTGCCAAGGCGCTTTTTGCAACGGGCGCAACATTGTATCTCACGGGACGAAACCTGGACAAGACCAAGAAAGCCCTGGGCGAACTGGCTTCTTCGCCTCGCGTGCACATACTGGAATTGGATCTAGAGTCTCTATCGAGTGTGCGCGCATGTGCTGCTGAGCTCCTCTCCCAAACCAAGACTTTGAATGTCTTTATCGCCAACGCGGGTGTCATGGCAACCCCTGAGGGTCGGACCAAGGATGGATTCGAGACCCAGTTCGGCACGAACTACCTTTCTCAGTTCCTATTGTTCCTCCTCATACGCCCAGCTCTCTTAGAAGGCGCCGCTGTTACAGGGTCTGACTCTCGGGTCATCTTGCTGTCATCTATCGCCCACCGATACTCGGAAGTCGACTTTGAAAATATCAACTTAGACGGTGCCTATGATAAGTGGAAAGCGTATGGACAAAGCAAGACCGCTCTTCTTTGGGCGGCTAATGAGATTGACCGTCGTTACGCTTCCAAAGGACTGCGCGCCTTCAGTGTTCAGCCTGGTGGCATTCAGACCGGACTCCTGCAGCATTTGTCTGAGGAAGAAAAGGCCGGACTCGCATCTGATCCAACGCTTGGACCTCAATTCAAGAGCCCACCACAAGGAGCTGCCACCTCTGTATGGGGGGCCGTCTCTAGAAGCTTGGAAGGAATTGGTGGAAAATATCTCGAAGACGTGCAGATCGCCAAACCGTATGATGCGAGCGAGGGACAATGGGCACCCGGCTATTTCCCCCATGCGTACAGCCCGGCGAAGGAGAAGCTGCTATGGGACATGTCATTGAAAATTCTCGGCATCGAAGAGTAAAGGAGGCACTCAAGAATGAGCTACTTGGACTCGTTTTCTTTTACAAAGGATGGATGTTCCTGTACGTTACTGGTTCAAGAAAACAATCATTCGTTCTTGCTTTCCCCTGTAACATCTAGCTAGTTTCTAAAATCCATATTTGACTCAGTCCTCTGTGTACTTGGATCACTTTACACTAGAACAAAAAATCACCTATCAGGGCTATCAATCACATAAATTCATCACATGAATTCAAGGTGAAAAGCACGCTACATCAAAGGCAGCCTAGAGTATTTCTCTTTTTTTGGGCCTTCGAAGGGAGTCTCAGAACAAGGCTCAGGAGTAGCAACATATAGTACAGTCTCGTTTCGACCCTCAAAATAGTCAGACCATTGCGATGAATTCTTGCCACTGGCACAAGGCAACATTTGAGGCTTTGAATACTATTCGGGCAGCTGCTCAACATCACTACTTGACTGAATCGAAATGCCCGTATCGTTGCCTATCCCATCACTCTTTGCTCCGGAATGATCTTGGCGCGGCATTACTTATTGGTGCCAGCAACACCACACAGCTGGAGGATAAGATAAGATTTAGGGTACTTACAGTGGGAGGAAAGGAGTTTGCACCCCCCCTGTTTGGCGTACGTACTGCATCACCGCCTTCTTTATTTTGTCCACCGCACACCCAACAAAGAAAATAGATGGCTTCTATAAGAGCTCTGCAGGCAGGCTCACGAATAACTATGCCTAAAGAGGCTAGCGGATGAACTATTGCAGAGGGGGGGTGGCAATTTCCTTTCCAGGGACTGTAGAAGAGGAAAAATCCCCCCCCCCCCCTCCCCTGTTTGGTTGGGCCGAAGGGTCTTTGGCAGTGGAGGCGGCCAGCTTATAAGGAACGTGGAACCTGGGTCCGGATCTTGAACTCTCCTCCCGGTCTCTATGTTCCATTTCATTGCCTTTGTCAACTGTGACCACTTAAGCTTTCATTAAATTGGTGTTTAAAAACAGAAATCAAAGGCTGCAATCGCTCCTCATGCTGTCGCTATTGATCATGCCACAACTAAGTCTGAGCCGTTCGCCTTTCACTATATGGATACTTGGATAGATCAGTTGATTTGAGGCCAGAGAACGGCAAGAGATTGGAATTAGATTATGATAAAGAGATACCTAGTTAAACGAGACGACGGAAAGAACCGCAAGCTGAAACGCTGACGGGGCGGATTGACCTGGCCAACAAATTTGTTCAATCGCAGTACAAATTTGCTGACACGAACGACCACCATCAATACCGATATCTCCGAAATAATGTGATCATTAGAATAGTCTCGGAGAAATCTCCCATGACGCAATGTCTTATGCCAGAAAATGTATAAATATTCCGACCACCCATCTTTTGAGCCTGGAGCTGGGCATTTTCAACGCAAATTCTCCCGGCTTCATTTTTCAAACAAACTCTCCAGATGGCATCGACACCCCATGTCTGGCTGATTACAGGCTGCTCAGCTGGTTTCGGCATTTCAATTGCTCGTGCAGTCCTTGCCCATGGACATCTTGTGGTTGCAACCTCTCGGAATCCGGCGAAAACACCAGACCTGGTTGAAGAGATCACACAAAAGGGTGGGCACTGGTTGACGCTTGACGTGACAAGCCCCGAAGAGGATATTAAAAAGGTGGTCGAGAAGGCCCGGGATCTGTATGGTCATATTGATGTTGTTGTCAATAACGCGGGCTTTGCGGTAGTCAGCGCACTAGAGGACGTCGAGTGAGTCGCTTCCTTCCAACTTGCTCTATGCCGCAAAAACAACCTAATGCAAGTGAATATAGCGAGAGCGCCATCAGAGCACAGTTTGAGACAAATGTGTATGGGCTTATCAAAGTCACAAAGTCCGTTCTACCAATAATGCGGAATTCGCGCTCTGGAACTATTGTGAACATGAGTTCTGTGGGTGGTTTGAGAGCACTACCTGCTGTCAGCTTGTATTCAGCATCAAAACATGCCGTCGAAGCTATCAGCGAAGCGCTCGCACTCGAATTGTCACCTTTCGGCATCAGAGTTCTTTTAGTAGAGCCCGGAGCATTTCGAACCAATTTCCTTGGACAAAATGCAGTCTCTTACCAGCCACCGAGTGATCCATACCTCGGGACAGCCGTCGAGAAAACCCAGCAGTATCTCCATAGCGAGAATGGAAAGCAACCTGGTGATCCAGAAAAAGCGGCAGAAAGAATTTATGAAGTCGTTATGGGAGAAGGAATGGCTAAAGATAAAAAACAGTATCTTAGGTTGGTTTTGGGCAACAAGGCTTATGAAAACGCTCGTCTTAAAGTTGCCGACCTTTCGGAGAACTTTCTCGCCTTGGAGGACATTTCTAGAAGTACGGACTACTAAGTATTTTCGAGGGCGACAATTGCAGTTTAGTCAAGTTGTATAATCATAATTAAGCAATCCAATCCAAGAGCTCTACTGATACTATTAAGGTAATACGCATGTGACTGGACCACCTGGTTGAGCGGGCCATTCACCTATCATTAGACAATTTCAAGATCGATTATCTCATCAACACCCCTTGGTTCAACTAGAAATAGCGATTTTCACATGTATTGCCTATGAAAAATATCTCTACATCCAGAACACTTAGCTGGCGCCCTCTTCGATGGTCAGACCCGCTTCACAGGGTATCTCATTCGCTGCGCGGAGATTCCCATTATCCTGCACAGGTAATGGAAGCTTGTGTAGCAAAAGGTAGTACCCCTTGAGAATCCGATCTACTACTAAGTTTAGTCGGCTTTGAGGGCTTTTTAACCGCTGAGCTAATCGATCATTCATTGTACTGTTTTGCTTGCGTAGCTGAGCTAGCGTTTTAGGCATTCAAAATGCCCTATAAGCTCCTCTGAGGTTCCCCTAGCATATGCACACGAAGTGTCGGTTTCACTTTATTAATGTCGCTGGAGATTTTCCAACACAGTCTCATTCTCCTCCTTCGTGGTTCGCTTTCATCCATCCAGCCCTAGGACAGACCAATTAGTGGCCTATTTGATTGAAAGCGAGATGGGCACCGAAAACAACATTGATGCAAGGACAGATCATGTTTCTTCAGATACTGGACTACTTCTAGTAATGTCAAAGATCAAAATCTTCTGGAAAGTTCCGTCTCTATTTGTTAGACGCGATTCCCGATGAGTGGTGTGGGTCATGCAAGTGATGAATTTCTGAAATTAGGTATAATTGTGTTTTCATTAAAGCCGAAAACCCCGATGGCTATTTCCGTGGCATCTGAACTTAGTGACAGGCAAATTCCCACCGACTCTTTATGCTAAACATTATCTCGGGGTTCTTAAGAATGTCTGCTGAAAAGAAGATACCCTTGCGCCAGTGAGATTAGTCACAGTAGAAGTATCGAATAATCTAGCATTTGAAGGATTCGACTAGACTAGGGATCGGTTGACGGTGGTTATCCAGCCTTACTTCAACCGCGAAGTCTAAATGTCTTACGTTCCTAAGGCCTACTAGTCAAACACACGAATGAAAGCATGACGTCTTAGTACCAAGAGAAAAGTTAATTGCAGGAATTCCGGGTTGATCCGGTTACCATACAAAAACATAAAAGGAGTGGGTACGCGCAGAATCAGTCTGTCCTTGGTGGTCAAAATACCACATCTACTGGATACTTGGTTTCACTAAATTACTAGCCTGGGTCAGCAATTAGCGCCAATTTTAAGATCTTTTTTTGTCTCAGAGACGATTGACGGATCATTATCTCGGTGGAGACCGGTCATAACAGCCATTGATTGATGCAGAAGAGAAAATTGTCGTAGTAATAGACCAATCACATTCCTTGCCGACGTACTGTTGAACAGTGGATAATCAAAAGTCTCGCGGACGCGTGTCAGCAATCTGCAGATAAAACCCCACGCAACGTGATAAGATAGCCAGTCCATTTTTCACTATTTTTTTTATTTCATCCTTGAAATATACCTGTCCTCGAGCCATCTGGCTTTATCCATTGCCACATACGCTTGCGAGATTTGACGCTATTTCTCATGGGGACGCCATCAGTAGCGAGGTCACTCGTCCTGCAGCGCGTTTTCCCAGGGGTGGAGGTAGCACCTGCAGATAACTGGATAGGCGTCACAGATATGAAAAGGCGAAGGAAGTTGCAAAATCGACTCAATCAACGATCTCGGAGTCAGTAGTATTTCACATTTGAATCAAATCTGTGCTAATGTGCTACATGGACTAGGGCAACGCCGTCGAGTAGCAGATAGCAACCAACAGTCCACGCCTTCAGCGCCACCTAGTATTGAGATCGCCCTTAGGATTTTAGATACTTTGCAGATTATTGGCCCGGCCTTGCGGAATGTAGAGGACATCATGAACCAGCTTGTAAGCATGGTCACTGCCCATGCTAACCTCATGTGTGGGTCCCCATTACGAGATCTACGCTTCAGTATAACAAGACTGAACGTCTTACGAGCACTTTTTTTCAACCTGGAAGTACTAGGTTACAGCCCAAGTGACATCCACGACGATGCTCAGTCAACCTTCACTCCCAATATCCAAAGCGGGATCAAGTGGTCCCGCATAGAAGCGTTGCCAACGGCCCTTCGGCCGACTGTGATCCAGCGAACTGTGCCCCACCACCCGTGGCTGGATCTTATGCCCTTCCCCCGAATGAGGGATACTCTCATACTGGCGCAAGCCTATATGGGTGATGAGCAGCTGTGCCACGATCTGTGTGGAAACAGGGTACCCTGTGCCGGCTGTCGTGATCTGAGCCGACCAGGAGGGATTGGTGAGACTGGCGTTCTGGTTTGGCGTGACCCGTGGGATCCATCCGGCTGGGAAGTGACAGAGACCTTTGCCCGGTCATGGGGTTGGGTGCTGCAGGATTGCGTAGACTTGTTTAATTCGACCAACGCGTGGCGGATTGAGCGTGGAGAGAGGCCGCTGTTTAGAAGTGCTTTTGGAATCGACAAAAATGCTAAAGTATGACATCCGTGTCTTGATTATTGTCACCGATTCTGAAGGGAATGCATGGACAGAGTCTGCCAAACGTCAGTAAATCACTGATGGTCTCGATATTTCCATCAAACGCTTGTGCGAATTTCTCAAAAAACGGGAACTGAAATTTGAAGCTATTATAGAATAAGTAGCCGTGGTTCTCAACTGACTAAAGTAGTAAACCTTTGTGACTTTTCAATCTGAAGCTACCGAGAGAAAAATATAGGCTCTCCGGAATTTGCATAGAGTAAAAATGGCAAACAGTTGCGATATGAACGAAAAGCTTGAGAACAGCCTTCTGATGATGAAAGGCGAGCCTGTATACAAGAGATACACGAATGCTTTGCTGCTGAGAGGAAAAATGAGAGGAAATGGGAATCTTGGACTGAATAACCGCGATGTGGTTCATAAAGACCAGGCTTCAAGGAATTAATCATTCTATCCCGAATTGACTAAGATAGTCTTTTTTGCTTCTGAAAGGGCCGAGGTGATTGAACCTCAACCGGTATCGGGCACGAGCTCATCAAAAGCAAAAAGGAAAGTATACGACGGGGTATTCTGGATAGAAAGCTTTCATGTACTAAATTCTAGCAGGGAATAAAGAAATCACTGCACGAGATGCGGTATTTCTATGTACAGCCGCAGGTTCAGGCGTATCAAATATAATCTAGTCAAGAATGTTTTTGTGCAATTGGGAGATAGCCAACGTATTGAATGCCCAGCGAAATATCAATGTTTGTTTGTCCTATGGTAATGGATCTACAATCGTACGTAATTTGTTGAGTGGTTTCCCTTGATTGCCGCGGACGATTGTGGACTCATTAAATTTATTCGTGATAGCTGCCTAGAATTATGGAAAATGATACCCTGCTGTTCATGGGGGTATCCAAACCTTGGAATCTTATACTGAATCAAACTACGCTGCTCAATTAGCCCATTTCCTTCGCATCCAAGCCCCCTCTCTCCTCAATACAATTTACAAAGTTGAAAACTGCAAGCAATTCATGCTCCAAGGCTGAAGCAACTAAAGCGTGCCAAAAATAGACCGCCAATTGTCAACTTTGGTTGACCGCGCAAGGCTTATCTCGAGTTTCCATGAAAGTATGGAGTGTTTTGATACTGCAATAATAAAAGCCCCTACACGATAGAGGAAAAGTTAATCTAGGACACAGCTATCCCCAGCATTTCATCCTGCATGACCCCACAGCGATCGAGCCTGCGAGGATTGTGACAGCCCCAATAGACATGTCATACGGAAACCGGCCGCAGGTACCTGATAGTCGTTCGTTCGTAATAAAAGCATGCATACGGTCAGTTCAAGCTCTAGCGCCTCCCACTTCTCCTCGAGATGGATTTCGATTTGGATGCTGTGGTCAAAGCTGTGGCTGTAGGCCTCGTGCTTGCGGCATTACACCAAGTCTACCACCGCCTCCTGCTACCTCGACCGATCCGTGATATTCCACACATTGCGGGGTCAGCCCGGAGGCTACTCGGAGACCTTCCTGAGTTGCAGAAGATAATGGCAAGTACGCAGGACATCCAGTCCTGGCTACTGGAACAGACCCGTCGGCTGAAGTCCCCTCTGATTCAACTGTTTTTGGACCCGCTGGGTAAGCCAGTTGTGGTCCTTAATGATCCACGAGAGGCCTTTGACCTACTGCTCTACCGCAGTCGAGACTTCGACCGTACACCCATGGTACAGGACGTTTTCTCCGGCCTGTCTCACACTCACCATATCACCATGAGCACTGGCCCCGAGTGAAAGAGACACCGTAATCTGATGAAGCATCTGGTGACCACGCCATTCCTTCAGGACACTGCTGCGCCTGCGATTCACGCGTCTGTCGTGCGTCTGGTCGAACTGTGGAGTATCAAGGGGCGGGTGTCCCGAGCGTCGTCGGCGTGCTTTCCACCTCAAAAGGATTTTCAACGCATGGTCCTTGATACCCTGTTGGAAATCTCATTCGGACGGGACTTTCCCAAAGACGGGATCTCATCGCAAATCGAGCTGCTCCGGGACGCCGAAGCCTGCGGCAGGGCGAGAGTGAGCAGTGAGCCGCAGATCATCACATTCCCGGAATCAGATCCTCACGAGTTCATCCGTGCGCACGGGGTGCTCAGTGAAGCCATTGAACAGAGCGGGACATCGCTCTTCCCACGACAGTCATGGTGGATGATGTCCAAGCTACCCCGACTGGCCCACGCCCTCCGGGTCAAAAGCTGGGTCACGCGGGAATGGCTCGAGACTGCAGTCTCCAGCACCGTCGGTGCACCCGCGGACTCGGCATCAGGGCTTCCCGACCCACCCCAATCGTCAGTTGAATTCATGATTCAGCATGAGAGGGATCTGGCGAAACAGGAATCCCGGAAACCGGATTACCTGTCCCCGGCGATGGAAGACGAGGTGCGTGACAATCAACTAGAAACTACCAACATAACAAACTGCTAACCCGCTCACCACCAGCTGTACGGATCCATCTTCGGCGCCTCGCATAGCACCGTGTTCACCCTAGCTTGGGGAGTCAAGCTTCTATCCGATCACCCTCGGGTGCAGAGCCAGCTCCGCGAATGCCTGCGCGCGGGCTTCCCCGAAGCCCTAACGGCAGGACGCCCGCCCAGCGCCCTGGAACTGTCGTCCCGAACCATTCCCTATCTTCATGCAACCGTCGAGGAGATGCTGCGGTTTACTCCGACCGCGTTCATGATCGACCGCATCGCCACCCGGGACACCGAGCTCCTGGGCTACGCCATTCCCAAGGGCACCTGCGTCTGGGCCCTGAGCAGCGGGCCCGGATTCACGTCACCGGCGTGGCCGATCCCCGCCGACAGGCGTAGTATCGCTGTGTCTCGGACGGCGATGCCGACGCCCGCCGTAAAGCAAGATCACGCCCGGCAGTCTCCCAGTCACGAGTGGGCTGGTGAAGATCTTGATCGATTCGTTCCGGAGCGATGGCTGGTGGCTCCCTCCGGGGCCGACGGCCCATCGACCTTCGATCCGAACGCGGGCCCAACCCTGGCCTTCGGGGCCGGACTCCGGGGCTGCTTTGGGCGTCCGTTGGCCCAGCTGCAGCTGCGCATGACGTTCGCGCTACTGGTGTGGCATTTCGAGCTGAGGCCGTGTCCCGCGGCTCTGGCGACGTACGTGGCGGTCGATGGGCTCTTTCGGCAGCCGAAACACTGCTTCGTTGCTTTGGGGGAGCCTGCGCGGGGGGCTGGTCAGTAGTTAGAAGGACATCCACAGTCTGTGGGGTGGTTCGGGGCGTGCATGTCCAACATGGTGATTGCTCCTGGCAGATGTATCTGCTGTGCATTTATAAGTTGCCCCGCTTTTCGGTGTTCGTCTTGAGGTCGTATTATGCTCCGTCTATCCCCCCGTATGGATCCTAGCGTTCGAGTCAATTTCAAGACACCAATTACTACTTTCAGTTCTTTTTCTTGTCTCGGTGGAGACTGTTCAGCGCTTCAAAGCAAACAAGACGTCTTTCAAACTTGACATTTATAACGGAGTGAAAGGCCTTTGGCGGTCTTCCAAGACGAACCCCGCAGCTAAGCGCCGATCGTACAGACCCATAGATATAATAAGAAATGGTCGCAGTGCAGCAGCGCATTACGTCACTCATGCTATCTTAATCAATAAACTAGACCCCTAGTCAAATTAGTAGAATCTCCTTGCTGAGTGAAACATATGCAAATGGTGCTATCAAGTGCAGTTAGGTCTAAAGTGCCCGATGACCGCGTACAGTACACTACAGTACACCACATACTACTTAAATCCCAACCCCTCCCCCTTGAACTCTCCAATTCAGTCTCCAACCACCACCACCGGCCGCTATCCCCATCCACGATGACCGGATTAGCACGCAAATACGAAATCAACGCCGACATGGGCGAAGGCTTCGGCCGCTGGAAGATGGCAGGTAGCCCCGTGGCTCGTGTAACCACCACATAGATCAACGGAATAACCCACCCACCACCACAAACAGGGCCCCGACTCAGAACTGATGCCGTTCATCGACGCCGCCAACATCGCCTGCGGCTTCCACGCCGGCGACCCAACCATCATGCTCAAGACCATCCGGCTGTGCAAGCAGCACGGGGTGCGGGCCGGGGCGCACCCGGGCCAGCAGGATCTGTTCGGGTTCGGCCGCCGCAAGATCGAAGTCGACCCGGGGGACATGTACGCCGCGGTGTTGTACCAGGTCGGGGCGCTGAAGGCGATGCTGGACGCGGAGGGCGTGGCCCTCGCCCACATCAAGCCGCACGGCGACCTGTTCTTCTACATGCAGCGCGACGAGGACATCATGCGCGCAGTGCTGGAGGTCTGCGCCACCTTCCGGGTGCCCGTGTACGGTTCCCAGAATGCTAAGCAGGCGGCAATGTGCAGGGAGCTGGGCGTGCCGTTCCAGGGCGAGATGTACGTCGATATCGACTACTCGTCCGATGGGCGGTTGCTGCCGGTCGCGCAGTCCCGCGTTCCGACGCCGGAGCTGTGCTACGAGCGGGCGCGGTCCGCTACGTTGACGGATGTCGGCAAGGACATCGAGGGGAGTGAGTTTCAGTTTGGGTTCGAGGGCACCCCGTTTAGTATCTGTGTACATTCGGATCTGCCGACCGTGTTGGAGAATGTGGTGGGCGTGCGCAGGGCCGTCGATGAGGCTAACCGGCTGCGGTTTCCGCAGGAGGCCGGGGTTGAGGGTCTCTGATTTGAGGGCAGTACGTCGCAGAATGCTCGACTTTTCTAGGGGGAATAGTAGTCATCGAGAAGAGTGAGGGTCGTGGGGTTGTCAACCGTCAATTGGATGCGTGTGAGGGGTTGCTATCAGATTGGTAGTGATTGCCATGGTGACAGTCATACATCTCCCGCACTCTCTAGCCTCTTGTAAGTTCGGGACACAAAAGACAACCTTGGTTAAATGCTACTTATATTTGGCGTTCATTCTCACGTTTTATGTTTTACCTTTTGGTCAATAGACCATGCTCCAAATAAACCTGACACTCTGGCCGATCGGACCTTCACCGGGCATGCTGCTTACCCCAACTCTTATCGCGTATCTCAGGCATTCGTCCTCCAACTTGCCCCGCACCGATCATCCTTACCCCGTCGTTGTACATGACATGGAGCCACCGAGTGAGCTGGCAAATGAGAGGCAAATCCAGGTTTTGTTATCTTTGCGAATTATTCTACAAGAAGAGCCGTCACTTGATGTTGGGATTTGCGGCGTTCGTCTCCCATCCGTAAAGCCCCAGCATCAACACGTGGTGGTTGCCCCAGGCACCATTTTTATCACGGCCACTCGTGCCTGCTAATTCGGTCGTTCTACTATGTGTTAGTAGCGGGCGGTAATTACGGTACATCTCTTTCATCTACCATTTGTATCGGCCCTGTTCATGCTGGCTGGTAATATGTGATGATAAGTAAGCTCGATGCACAGCCCAAACACGCCTGGCCCGCTCACAGACATTTGATTATGCAAAGAGATCTCAAAATAAATGGAGAAGAGGAGTCTCTGACTACGTAGTTCATGGCAAGGGGCGGTGGCTTCAGCGGCTGTTCTCGACAAACTCTGTTACGTGGGAGTATGTGATTCCGGCTACAAGACAGCGTGAGACCAGCAGTCTAGAAACAAAGAAAATGTATTTTAGCAAGATTAATCTTGGTGAATGCCTGTGGCACACCAGGGAAAGCTTTCAATTTCTGATTTTCCAAGGCAAGCCACCGAGTATGAGTGCTCTGGGGCCTATGCCATTTTTGACCCAGTGATTAGCTGTTTCCCATGTGTCCAGAGGCTATCTCATACCTTGTACCTTGTACCATGTGCTCTGGTACTGCCTTTCTCTCCCCGGATACTCTTAATCTTCTACATTCCAAGGATGCCTGTTCCCTGTTTGCAGCTAGCGATCTCCTTGCTGTCATTCAATCTTGTCCATGAAGCACCTGCCATAAATATCTATCCGTTCCGCGAGCAAAGCAATCTCCGTATCTCGGCCTCGATAGTCTCATGGAGATGTCATCAATGATCCGGTGGGGGTTCAAGGCCAACCTACACCGAGCTCCACAAGCCTGGCGGCCTTCGATGCTGACCTATACTCCGATAGGTCAGCTACGGTCGGCTGGTACTTTGGATTCAAGTATCAACTGCCCAGATTGAACAATATATACAACAATGTAAAACATGTTATCCTCAGGACGAAAGTGGTTGGAATAACTTTCAACTGCTCGGTGGCAGCATGTGGTTTCGGTCTCGTGCAAGAATAGTTAAACATACATTCACAGTTGTGGTTTGATATACGGTCAATTTAAAGTAACCAGAAAGTAGACAGTCTTGCGTGGCGTCAATTTTATCACCGTTTGATTCTCGATGAATCAAGAGAGTAAATAATTTGATTCTTTTCTGCATTGAAACCAAATCAACCTCACTAAGAACATGGAGTTGAATTCTCCCGCTCTTGACCTTACATTCGATTCTGATTGGTGCTTCGCTTGTGGTTTATATACAACTTAGGCTTTCAAGTGTTTGAATAATGGGTAACCGATACCCAAATCAGTTTATATCTGAGTAATAGCAAATTCACTCTCTCAATATTTGGCTACTGCTGTCTTTGATGATTGAGTTCTTGTACAAACTTCCGTCAACCCCAACGTCCCAGCCGCTGATTCAACAAAAGGTCCTGGCTCCGGAGCAAGAGACCAAACAGCTTGTTGACCAGTGTCTGAGATTATAATGGCTCTAGAGATGTAGACGTCCTGATAACATTCAATGGCGATAGATACACGGTTCTGGTCAGGTGATATTCACTACTACTCTTTAGGGGACATCGAATGTGGACAGCGCTTTCCTCAATCACTTGCGGCAAGTGTTCCCTCAACTCTCTTTGCCATCTTTCAAGTCTCCTCATCAGCTCCGATCACTACTCCATCATTCTTTTCATACACACCTCAGCACATATCTTTATCTTGATCGCCTCAATTCCCAGTCAGCCAACACAAAATGATGCATTAATCCACCCTGACAGATGGAACGTCTACCCACTGAGTTACTTTACTATATTGGTCAGTACAGCCGAGAGGAAGAGCCCCCTTTCAGGACCTTGTGGGCGCTATCTTTATGCGCGTGGCGCTTCTATCACGCGTTCAAACCTCTGTTATACTCTGAGATTCGCATCACTCATGACGGTCATCGTATCCCTCTTCATCACGTTGATTTGATTATACGGCTCTGGCATGACGTAGAGTTGGCCAAGCGGGTGCATCGGCTCGATATTCACTGGCACGGGTGTGGCTCGAGTGACCTGAGCAAGTGCGAAGACGAAAGCAAAATTGTCGCATTCATCAACTCGGCCCTAGATGAGATTTTCGGCTCCGATGCGCCCCTCTACCGGACCCGAGACAGATGGGAACACCATCTGCAGGCTCGCTGCCAAGAGGCTTGGGCGGGGATTCTTCTTGTTCGACTATCCCATCTGCGACGCCTGTTCGTGAAATACGACGATTCCGACCTGATAGCCGATATCCTGCGCAAGGCGGCGCAGCGGCAGCAGCCCTTTGATCGCACCCTGCCCTTCCCGTACCTCACTGAAGTAACCGCATGTGCCCACGGCCGCCTAAATTGGATCGAGTCGGATCTCCTTACCTCCTTCTTCTATTTCCCCGCGGTCCGCCGGGTCAATGTCTTCGCCGTAGCCGGGACCTCCGCCGCACCTGAGTCGCTAGTCGTGAAACATGATTCGCTCCCCGTGCGAATCTAAGTAGTCTCGAATGCCGTTTACTGCCGCGGGATGCTCGACTGGCTCGCGGCGAGCGCGCGTCTCGAATAGGTCACGTTGAAGATCGCGGTCCATCCCGCCGATGACTACTGGGATATGCCGTCGAACGAAAGATTCAATGCCTCGAGATTCCGGCAAGCCCTTCTTCCTTGCGCCAAAACGCTCAGGTCTCTTCGGCTGGAGGGCGCCTGTAGTTACAAAGTAGTCTGGTATGACGATGACCGCGACGAGGATGAGGAGACCGCATTTGGGTCATTCAAGGAGTTCGCCAACCTTCAGACACTGATCGTGCGATACCATTTCCTTCTAGCACAACCCTCGGCGGATAGCAAGATGCGACTTCTGGAAATACTGCCCGCTTCGCTCGAGTCCCTGGGGATCACCGACGTCGAATCCGACCATTATCTTAACCTGGTGGCGGAGCTCTTGCGATTGGTACGGCACGGCCGGGATCTCTTTCCCCGCCTGAACGAAGTCCACCTGTTCGTGATCGACATGTGCGAGGACCTACTGGCTGCTTTGAGAACGGGGTTCGAATTGGCCGGTATCGGGCTGACGGTGGAGCTGCAGCAAGAAGAAGACTGGGAGTACAATCATGTGTCTTCCGACGGCGAAAGCCCTTCCCTTGATGTTGAGGTCCAAATGTTTGGTGGGTCATGATGCTTGAACTTTGATCTATATTTCTATCTGTACTGAGGTGTTGGATGAGTTTTGATAGTGCTTGGGTAGAGTCTTAGCCATATCCTTCCGGTTCAGTACTTACTAGGTAGTCTTCGCTGCGCTAAATCGACTAACATGTCCGTGTGGGCAACGAACCCTTATCTCGCATCGTAACCGCCCTGACTGATTTCGAAGCTGAGACGACGAACTTCGTGTCTCTGGTTACTCCATATTGCTTGTAGCGAGTCTGAAAGTACTGATAGGCAGGATTCTGTCTCTACCTCGAGCCTTGGGCTTTTTATGGGTTGAGCCATAATCCAACTTTTCGACTTGCAACCGACTGAAACACTACAGCTTTGACGGGAAAAGCACCATCCTACACTGTGTCCATGTTAAGATTGCTGGATTGTTTGAGGAGAGCTGGATTTGATGCCACGCGCATATAAGTTTCATGTGGGAACACCAGACATTCTTGGCATTCCAGCGTACAGGGGTGTGCAATGAAGTGCGTCAGCGCTACTGATGCCTAAGACGACTAGAATTCTTTATTTAACAGCCAGACCGGGGCGGGGGAGCTCGAGTATTAACCTCTATCTCCTTCACATTAGACCTGTCGCCTCTGCTAGAATCCAATAATAATGCAAGCTCATAATACTTCGTCTCGAGGGATTCGATTAGCCATTCTAGTATTGGTGTCAGTTATACCATCCTTGCGTTCCTGGGAACCTTTTGTCTTGCTGATCATCTCCTAGATGCCTCGTCATCCTCATCGACACAGCGAATGTGGGGATGGCCAATATCGCGTTACCAACAATCAAGGAGGCACTCGGCTACAATGAGGGAGACTTGCAACGGATCTTGACCGCTTATTCACTGACGGTAAGATACACTTCCTCCATCACAAGGGCAGCGACAACCTGATGACGGAGAACGCGGCCAGTTCGGCGGGTTCCTGATGACCAGTGGCCGGCTGGGCGATATCTTCGGTCATCGAATGATATTACTTCTGGGCATGACGCTGTTCAACATAGCCTCCCTCGTCTGCGCTCTCGTCCACTCTCAGATTGGGGCTCATTATTGGAAGAGCCTTCCAAGGTAAGATTGCCGGTCTTGCCTTATCATTGATACTCATTCTTGACTACTCCCAGGTCTCGCAGCAGCATTCACCATTCCCTCCGCCCAGTCGTTGGTCGCCCTGGCTTTTGAGAATCCGAAGGCTCGTGTGCGGGCCTTCGGCGCCTGGGGTGCATGTGGCTCTAGTGGTTTTGTGTGCGCCTTCCCTTTTTCTTGTTGCTTCGTCCGACTAACCTGTCAATAGCTTTGGTCCTATCCTAGGTGGAGTTTTCACCTCACTGGTCACTTGGAAATGGGTACGGTGATGAGTAACTCCGTATCGGTAACCAAGTCTGATTGCATTCGTCTTAGATCTTCTGATTCTCCTTGATCGCGGAAGGTGCCCTCCAACTCGCAGTCATCGCTCTTATCCTTGTCCACGATCACCATCACCCAGCCGGAACTGGCACTGTGAACCAGTGGAAAGACCAGCTGGCGACTCTTCATACCCGTCTGGATCTCCCTGGTACCTTGTTATCGGTTGCCGGCCTCATCCTTCTGATCTACGCGCTGACGACCGGGAACATCGACGGCTGGAACCAGGCCAATGTTCTGACGACGCTGATTCTGGCGGTGGTAGCACTAGGAGTGTTCCTTGTTCTAGAACTGAGATTCTCCGCCGACCCAATTCTCCCTCGGTACATGATCACCGACCGAGGGAAAGCGCTGGGCTGTGCCAGCGCCGCCCTGACCTATGCTGTCTGGCAAGGCAGCAATTACCTCTTGACCCTTCAGCTGCAAAGTAAGCCTTTCCCCGTTGGGTTTTTCTATTTTCCACTCCCAACCCCCGTGCCACTAACAAACAGTGGCAAAAAGGCTTCGGTTACTCCGCACTTGCGACCTCGCTACGGTTCATCCCCCTCGGTGTCACGGCCTTAGTGGTCAACTTTGTAGTCCCCCTCCTAATCGGCCCGGTCGGCGCTCGCACGCTTTTGGTGTGTAGCTGGACCCTGACGCTGGGCGGACTGGTCCTCTTTACCCGGATGGGCGGGGCCGACGACTACTGGCGCTTCTGTCTCCCCGGGATGGTCTTGTACATTGCCGGTGTCGGGACGGTGTATTTCGTGGGGAACGTGAGTGTGGTGGCCACCGCGAAGAAGGAGCAGCAGGGGACGGTGGCTGGGGTTTATAATGTATGCTTGATCACTTGACGAGATTTTGTTTTCTCTCTTCCCCGAATCCTCATGATGTTGACGTTCAGATGTTCCTGAATGTGGGCGGAGCAGTGCTGGGAGTGGCGGTATTGACCGTGATCTCTAACTCGGTGACTGCTAACCACGGAGGCGAGGAGAATCCTCGCGCTGCCTTGAATGGATATCGGGCGGGGCACTATGCTGCGATCGCAATGGCGGCGCTTAGGGTGGTTCTGTCGTTGTTCTTTCGTTTACCTTGTTTATATGGTGAGAAGAGGGACGGGGAATGTGTGGAAGAACCAGGGACTTCAGCTTGATGTTTTGGGTCGCTTGGGATCCTCTCGGACGACAAAAGCCGAAGAGGAGGTAGGGTTGGATACGACGTTGCGTTCAGTGCGCAAAGTGGTAGTCAGGTCTGACAGCCCCATCATGATTTGAGCAACAACCTCGGGGCGCTCGTTCAACATAGTCTTTACTACTACCATTATAGACCAAGCACAACCTTATCTGTGTCACATCCAAAGTGGGCTACGCTGAGGCTACGAGCAAGATTCGCGTGCAAGCAATGTTCAACTCGCCTATATCCAAACCAATTTATCCGCATAATTGCCCCACCAAAACCCCCCCTCTGCACAGCACCAGGCCAGCAACCACCCACAAACTTAGTAACCAGCACGCTCAAAACCCCCCACACTCCTCAAACCTCAACAGCGCCCCCCTCAGCCCCACGCCGACTCTTCGGCGCCTGATCGGCAAACTCCTTCACGCCCGTCTCGATCGCATCCGAGATCCCACCGGCAACAGTCCCCGCCAACCCCTGCAGCTCCCGGGGCACCTTGGAAACAATCGTGTCAGACAGCTTCTTAGCGGCGGCCTTCTGCTGGGTGAGGTCATTGTAGGTCTGGGCGCCCTTGCCAGCCTGCACAATCAGAGACTTCTTGCCGTCGAGCTTGGTGATGACGGCGGCGATCTTGTTCTTGAGGTCGTTGACGGGGCCCGGGAGGCCCAGCGCGTCGCCGGAGCTGAGCGCCCCCGTGCCGCTGACCTGCGCGTTGCCGCTGTTGATCGCCGTCACCAGGTTATCCGACGCCTGCTGCACCTTGGCCACGTCGCCGCCGCCGTAGCCTTGGATGGCCGTCCCCAGCGCGTCGACCTTGGTGCCGATCCCGGACAGCACGCCGGTGATGGTGGGCAGGTCGCGCTCTAAGACCTGGGTGGGCGCGGCGAGCGTGCCGCCGGCGGCGAGGCTGAGGGTGAGGACGGAGAGGATGGAAAGTTTCATGATGGTTTTGATGGAGGGGATTGTGGGTGTGGTTTGGTGTGGTTTGGTTTGAAGTGTAGGGGGATGGTGGGTGTTGACTGTTGAGTGACGGTGGATGTTGATGGATAATCTTCCCTTTATATCTATCTCAGTGGGCTCTACGTGCCTCCGTGGAGATGTTGGGACCTCAAACTAGCAAAAGGATACTGCCACGATGGATGGTGGATGAAAATTGAGGTCGGTCGATCCCCAAGGGTCGGATGATGTGCACATACCCGAATCCTAAGTGATTTACAGGGATTGAATCACCGGTGGTCGGAATGTCTCACATTCCGGGGAAGAGGGAGCAAGGTCCCAAAAACGGGGGGGGTGGTGGATCGGTGGTAAGTTAAGAATAAAGTTGAACTACGGAGTACAAATGTCGAGAAGGCCCTCATACTGATGGGGTACTGGGGTACTGGGGTACTGGGATAGGTCTGCTCAGTGAAGTCTATCTTGCAGACGGCCTCATTTATCAGTCAACTTTGACTTTCTCTTGCACTCTCACAAGGGAAGAATCCAACTCTTGGCTTTGTACACAGCTGAGACTTCCAGGGGGCTCCCGGGCGGGAGCGGCAGGGCAGAGTCTGCGGAGAAAGCTTTCCGCGTCGCATTTAACTTTGCTGTTTTATGCTGGTATCCAGGATGATGAACATCAAGCCATGGCATACTTCTTTCCGAACCGCTGGCCTTGCGGTGCCTGCTGTCTTCCGGGGTTATGTTCGTCGGAATTGATACTTGGAGAGGTAGGGATAGTTGGCGCAAGTTCAAGCCTGTATCAGATAGCTATAGTTCAGGACCTGCAAGAAAGCACGGATCAACTCACTACTCCGCACATACCTTATTTTTTTTTTTTTTTTTTTTTGAGGGCAAGAAGAATGCTGGTTCCACGTGACTCTTCCTCTCCCCGGCTCCACTGTACAGTAAGTTGCATGCTGTCTGATTGGCTACATCAGCTAAGTCACATGACCCATTTTTCGTTGGACAAGGGGCCTAGCTTGGAATAGATGAGTCATGCTGGACTATGCGCACTGTTATCTGCGCATAAGTCAGAGCTGATGTTTGTCTAGTTTGCCTAGAGCCAGCGGGTGGAGGCCCCAGGTCACGGGCCGATTTTTGGTCGTACCTAGGTAGGCCTAGCCCGCTACCTACTTGCCCTGTAAGGGCGCTCCGATACTAGCGCCGTGGCCAGCGGAAGTCACCTGCAGAACAGGCCCTCTTGTTCGTGCCACGTGCTGTTGGGGCTTGTACAAGACACTGCACTCTTCATTGTGAATATGATGCAACATGATGAATCCTCAGTCACTCATAAACTATTACCAGTCTGCATTATAAATCGATGACTCTAGTACTGGGGATACAAGATATTAGCTTAGATTCGAGAGCGTGTAGTAGAAAGGAGCAGCTATATATCACGAGAATTGTCCACAGCTTCAAGTCTTAGAATGTTCGAAAGAGGTGACAAGACACATAACGAGGGTCTAGCCTGCAAGCTACTGGAAATAGGCAGCTTGCTTCCACTATGCGGTTCACAGCCCGGGGATCTGAGCATTGGAGAGTGGTTTCCGGAAGGTAAGGGTGATGGAATCGGTTGGGGATTTCAGCCCGTGAACTGAAGGTGGAACTCTAGCATTCAATCATTCTAAGCGCTGCTGCGGTGGCTGTGCTGACCTTTCCAGTTGACTGGATTGTGGCTCACGGCGGGTAGGAGGTGGATGGAGCTACCTGCCCAGTCTGGTGCAGTGTTGGCAGCGCATGTGCCAGCAGGTGGCTGTTTTTTTGAGCCATTGCATTTTGTTATCCCCTCTCATCACCTTTATTGAGCCTTTGTTCTCTGGTGGGATCTCGGTCTGTCGTAATGTTCCTCATACCTATGCATTGTGGTGGAAATCTGATGACGGTGCTGGTCATGCCACAGCAGTAGGTGGGTGCACATGTACAAGCATCCAAATCACTCACGGTTGGCCTAAACACCCTCTCTGCCTGGTTCTTGCAACTATTGCGCACTACGTGGCAGGCCTAAAGTACAACATTCACAACGCGCCCAAATGTGAATAATTCAACTGATATGCGAGACGCTCCCTCCACGCTAAGGCGTTCTTACGTTCCTATCAAAGGTGGCGTAGCCGAGATGACGCAGGTCGGCCATGCTCTTCTCTCCCACCGACCGGTAGGACTTATGTCCGATTTTGGCATTATTTTCAAGCGCTCTCCGCTTACTTTTGCTGCCGCAGTCTGGGGGATGGAAATCGACACAGTACAAGAGAAAATATAAAACTTCATCACCACCAACTTCATCACCACCTGCCTGAGACATCTTGCCTTAACTAGTACAACACCTTCTCTGCCCACAACATTAGATCTACTTTCTCACGGTCGCATCCCATCTAACCCTCCCTTCCCAAAGAAAACTCGTGAAGCGAAGATAGATACTAGTAGTGGTTGCTATGACTGCTCGCGATCCCGCGACTTTTGCCTTGACCCTGCGGCCGCGGCCACCAACAAACTCGCTCGGCTAGCCACGCACGTGAACTACGTACTAGTACTAGAAGTCGGGCTCCGGGACCTACCCACGTGAATGGACGGCCTTCGTGAGATCCGGATCCCCCTGTTTATTCCACGTATCGGCAGAGAAGGGCGGAGGAGACCTCCGGCTCCAGCGATGGCAAGCCCTCTGCCGCGCGTTGCAGGTGGAATTCTACGGTCCCCAGGACTGCATCACACAATGTCGAAAGGTACGTTCGATGCAGATACCCGAGTCCTTGCAGAAGAGGCTGACTAGTGAGAACCTAAGCTACAGGCTGTGGAAAAGGCGCATGTCAACCTGATCGATCTGATCGATTGCCGCCGAAGATGCGGTAGATGCGGTAGGCATCGGAGGGTCGATCTTCGTACGAAAAGAAGAGAACCGCTCAATCAAAGGCAGGAGAACGTGATTTTGGGTTGGAATTGGACTTTTGGTCTTTTGCTTAGTACCCACTCGTTGATGAAATTTGGCCATGTCAATAGATGTAGATACTTGTGCTTTGGGTGTCGGCCCCCCTATAGAAGTCATTGCATCTCTATTGAGCTATGAATCACGGAATACTCGATCAAGAGCCGGATGATCCATCGGATAGCCAATCTCCCCTTGTCTACGTGATACTCGACATGTTAGAAATCATCTTCGTCACCTTTTTGATCTGCTTTTCAGGGCTTTTGTGTAGGGAGCACTGTGGCGTGCCGCGGCGGCGGCCAAGGTATGAACCACCCGGACGAACTCCTTCCGGTCACGCTCCTCTTTCAGTGGAAGAGCCGACGGGTCCGCGCGTGCGGCCACGAGGTAGCCAATCGGTGGCAGAAAGTAAGATGAGCGAGACGGGGATGTCGCGGACGTCGTAACTTTACTCGTGTAGCTTGGAGGCCTATAAGCACTAATGCCAAGATACGAGGGGCGGCAGACGCACTGTGTCTGCATCTTTTGGGATGTTGGCTGCCATTCCTGGCCTCTGTTCTCCGACGGGGTGAGATCTAGATTTGTCGGGCATGATGATTTATTCCCAGTCACATGGGGCTAGAGTTCTTTAGTACTCTCTAAGTAGACCTGAGCTCGGTCTCAACGACCAACAAGGCAACGGTGGATCATGCCATCTAACAGCCTCTGATACCCCTGATACTACTCGATATGCAGGGGCAGGGTGTAACCACAACGTATGAGGGTTGTCTAACGGTAACAATTCTGGATTTACAGAACTGAGCTAGCCGGCTCTCATTGGGCAAGTCTGAGACTTGGGATCAAGAATTGTCGAGACAGGTGGCGATTGGTGCAATTTCATGTCAAGTGACTGTATAATAGCATCTCGTAGTGAATGAGCTCAATATACAAAGTCCGTCTGAGCTGCTCTGATTGGGGTTGGAATTAGCCGAGTGGGGAAAGGGGCTGACAGGCAAACCTAAAACCCCGTAAACGAGCCGTACACGATTCGTACACCACCCGTAAACAAACCCCTTTGGCCCCCCGCAACTGCGGGGAAAATTGGGCCGATGGGGGTGGACCGGGCCATCTCCACCCGACTCCACCGGAAGACTGCCAGAATCATCTCTCCACCCGTCATACCCAGGCGCTAGGATGCTAGGGAGACCCTTCGGTGCAATGAGAAAGCGATCACGGTGAATGGGAGGTGGATGCGAGGTGATTGCCACCCTCCTATCGACCACGTGCTCGGAAAACTCACCCCCCGGAGTGGGGTTGTTGGGTTCCAGACGAGGTCCAAGTCCGGGGACTCCGCAGTAAAAGCCCAAGCTTCACTCGATTAGGCTAATGTCACCATTACCACCATTACCACCAGTACCGGAATACCACCATTCCTACTAACCCAGTACCATCACCATCACAAGCGGTGTGTCGCAGCTATAAAGGTCGGAGATCCCCCCAGATCTCCCAGATCCCCCCTCCCCTTCTCCTGTCTC